TAGCTTAAATGTCCAAAACATATGGATGAATGTAGGATATGTTGTGTTCTAAGGTAGCCTGCTAGACCATTGTGGGCTATAGAATGAATAGAATAGAATGTTTTTATCGTCATCATACACAAAGTACAACGAAATTAAAAGACAACTCCAGTGGTGCAAAATACAAGTATAAAAAAAGACAAATAAGAATATCTAAATATATTTACAAAAGGAGCCAGTAGGAAGTATATACAGTACGGAATGAGCATGGTAACAACCAAACGGTAGAATAAATATATTGCACTGTTGATATATGAGAAATATAAATAATATAAATAAATAACAAAATAATTATAACTATATAATTATAAATAATCTATAATAATTATCATATAATATAGTGTAATATAAACAATATGTCTTTGTATTTCATTCCTTCATATATTTTAAACTTTTAAGCTGAATGTGTATAATTACGAAATACTTTTTAATAAATAAAAATGATGTAACATAAATACAGAAGATGTAATTGCTGACAGAAAAAAAAATTAAAATATGATAGATAGATAGATAGATAGATAGATAGATAGATAGATAGTGTTCCTGTTAAATCATAGATGTCGCATTATTATTAATAAGTAAATACATAAACAAGCAAATAAACTCGGGTCTCGTTTACGTAATGACGTAAGCGTGCGTAGTCCTGGTTCGAGAAGTTACGCAGAACGTGCAGAGGCTATAAGAGGAAGGAAGATGGCGGATAACAAAGGCGAGGAGGATATGGAACCGTCTGCAAATTTGGACTCAGTGCCTTCAGTGCAAGATAGCGAGCAGTCAGAGGCGAAAGTCGAAAATGCGGTGATAGTTATAGAAGGAAACACGAAGGATGATGCGGAAACCGAGGCCCGCGACAGCGCTACCGAGGCACCGACACCCACCAGTGAAGGAGGGGACGTTAGCAGCGGCTCGGCTGTTGCTGCTGTGGTCGGGGAAGCCAACGGTAGCGTTAGCAACGCCGTTAGCCCGGCTGGAACCAGCAGCACCAATGCAGAGCCAGCGGCAGCCGAAACCCCAGCCGCCGGGGAGACTCCAGCTGGCGGACTCACTACCGAAATGTCTCCCCCTCCCACGGCTCCAGCCGCCACGCCGGTATCCACTCCCATTAATTTACTGGATACGTGCGCCGTGTGTAAACAAAGTCTTCAGAGCCGAGACTGTGAACCAAAACTTCTGCCTTGTCTGCACTCTTTTTGCCTAAAATGTATTCCGCAACCAGACAGACAGATTAGCGTACAGGTGCCTGGACCACACGGGCAAACTGACACACACATAGGTGAGTTTTTTTCCACGAGTAAGTAGATCTACCTGCGAGCAGGCCTCTGCTCTGTCATCTGCTGTTTGCATTGAATCGCTGTCTGTCAGAAGTTTTGGCTTCAACAGTTGGAAGGGTAAATGTCAGTGATTTTTGGAGGGAGTTTGATGTACGCCATGTAACAGGTGGATCATCTGAGTCTTCACAGCTGAAACCCGTCCAGGGAGTGGGATTTTTAGGCAGTTGCATGAAACAGGAACGTGGTTTTCTCTCTGAGCCCATCTCCCTGGAGAACATGGGTCAACGGCTGATCACTTCTTCCACCTTAATAAGCAGCGACACGAGACATCATCATCATCATCATCAGTTGAGTTTTAATTGGAGAAATGGCTGTGAGGGAATAATATAAATGATGAATCAGTGGTGCTTTAACTGCTTGTGGTGCTGCTGTAGTCAATAGCAAAGGCCCATTTCCTGCAGGTTCCATCGCCTCCAGAAATATAGTCGTAAATATTTTTGCATTGACTTTTATTCCTTTTCAGAAGGTAGCTACAGCATGAGGAGTGGATGTTGACCAGGCACTGATAACTGCATATTCAGTAACAGCTTGTAATAAAGATAGTGGTGTAGAAAATAACGGTCCTGGATGATTACAATTCCAAATGTTATATTAACATGTAACAGCTTGTTATAAACATGTTGTTATTCGAATGCATCGGAATAACACTGCACCATATCCCTGCAGGTGATGTTTTTTTCCTCATAATTACAAAGTTCTAAGATCTTTTCTCCCAATTATGATGTTCAGCTCTCCTAATCACTGGATTTGTCCTCATAAGACAGTCACTAAGTGTGCAATACAAAAGTCATAATTACAATTTGTTTTTTTTCTTTCTTGGATGAACGCAATGCAACATCGTTTTTGTTGCGGTGTAAGTGCATTGATAAATGTGCCTTGTCTGTACGTTACCCTACCGTGCTGCTTTGAAAAGGGGCACACATCATTGCCCGCTCTGTAGACTCCACAATGCTTGATTACCAAACAGTGAGTCCAAGCCCCAAAAGTCAGTCGACAGCAGTACAGCTGTTGCACCAGAAGCTTTATTCTGAGAGCGAAACCGTAGATTTGCATGATCACTTCTGCGATGTGAGAATAAAGCAGTTTATAAAGTTATCAGTCCACCTTAGGAGAAACTCTTCTCTTCAGCTCTTCTCTCAGAAATATTCTCCACATTTCCAAAAGGTAGACTTCAGCAAATTGAATCCAAGTCTGTACTGCCATCAGTTGACATGTTTTTATTTATTTAAGAGTAGTTTGACTGATAACAGCCTGCCTGGTGTCTGGACTGATTTCATATGTATTTCAAATTCTGCACAGAAAGTTTTAATTGCACAGTTTTATTGAGCCAGAAATCGTAACCACAACGTTGATGTAAAACTCGTCTGTGACACAAAACAGGCGTTGCATTTCCAATTTAACGAAGGGAGTCATACAAGACTGTCTCATGATGGCATCTCATATTTCTCTTTATTCTCCTTTTGTCTGTGTCTGCAGTTTTACCTACTTACAGTACCTGCCAGCAAGCCTCATAATTTTATTAGTCTTGGTCTCTGTGGACAATTTTAATATCACATGGTGTCTGTTTTCGGGAATTGCATTACTATTGGTTTCAGGAGCGATTTAGTGTCACATGGTATGAATTGTTTTTGCAGAACTGCTCGTCGCGACAAAGGATTTTTTTCTAGGTTAAAGGAGGCACATATTGTCTTAATATGGAGGTTTAAAATGGGGGTTTATTAGTATATTGAGTTTGTAAATAAGATATGGCTCAGACTTACAGTTTGAAATGAACAAAGGAAAATACTTTCACTTTAAGTGTTCCTTTGGCCACAGTCACTGCAAGGCCCAGTCATACCCAGGCTGATGTTTTGGAAGCACTCCTCCTTGGTTAACGTAATAATGAACTACACAGCAACTTTCCACAGTACTTTCCTCAATCCATGAAAGCCCCCATGTCTCAAAAAATTATTTATTGACCACGTCCACCTTTATAGTTGAATCTTACAAAAGCTTTGTTAGTAACCAGATTTATAGCATTGGTTAACGTGACCTCACCTAAAGGATGACAAATAATGTCATCGCTGCCTCGGTCACAGCACTCACTCAGGCTGCTGATTAATAGTATTAAACCCTGGGCTTAACTTGTAAAAAGGAGGCTGGCTAATTACACGTTACCAGAATCTGTGGTGATTGACAAATCATTGACGTGATCGTCAATCACGTTGCACATAAATCACACGTCAGAGACCCTCCAAGCACACATGTCTGTCCGACTGTCTGTCTGTCTGTCTGTCCGACTGTCTGTCTGACCGTCTGTCCTGTATTTTGCTGAACTGTTAGGTATGCTTCATATGAAGTGGGCACCAGACAGGAGTGAATGTTGTTGTTGTTGTTTTAAAAAAAATGTTTATTGTTCATTGGCTCTCATTGACACTCAATTCCAAATTGAACCACGGCACCAAACACCACAATTATATTGATCGATTCCCCGTCCAATCACTTTCATATATTTCTGAAAGAAATGAGGAAATATGTAAACCGGACGGGTCCAGTTCTTCTCTGCAAAGGCTCCTGTAATAGTTGGTAGCTAACAGATATGTGTACAGGCCTTGGAAAACCAGAAGTGTCTTCATCTGATCTACGACTTAGACGTGCGGTAACCTACGCAATACTGCCTGGTAGCTGTACCAGTCAGTTTTTCTCATCGCATTACTTTCTGCTTCATTGTGAAGAACATTTTGTAAGAATGCATTTTTGCATCATTAAGATGCATTTATTTTTGCTGCTGTACCAAAATTTTTGATTATACATCTGCAAGGTGGTTAGCACCGTCGCCTCACTGCTAGAAGGTCGCTGGTTGGCGTCCCGGTGAGGACACCCGGGATCTTTCTGCGTGGAGTCTCCATGTTCTCCCCGTGCAGCGTGGGTTCTCTCCGGGTTCTCCGGCTTCCTCCCACAGTCCAGAAACATGTTGAGGTTAATTGGTGATTGTAAATTGTCCGTAGGTGTGAATGTGAGTGTGCTTGGTTGTCTGTCTCTAAGTGTAGCCCTGTGATAGACTGGTTACCTGTCCAGGTGAACCTGCCTTCACCCTGAGTCAGCTGGGATAGGCTCCGCCCCCCACGACCCTGGTGAGGATTAAGCGGTGTATAGATGATGGATGATTTATTAAAGCCAAATCCTTTACTTTACATTTTGGTCACCATGTTGCTGTGTTTAAGCTAAAACCACCTCTGTTGCTAAGCAGAGTTGAGATGAGAAGACAAATCTGGTCTTGTCTTGGGTTAATACTCGTTGACAGGTTAGTTATCCTGGTCTATTAAGTGTACTAGTGACATCTAGCATATTCCAGGTTAATAATTAGCAAAACAAAAGCCTGATTCCATCTAATGAATCTGTGATGGTTATAGTTTTGTTTCCCTTTTGTGTTCTTCCTGTCGGAGAAGGGATGAGTTTTTTGATGAATCGAAGGAAACACAACCCCAATCCTGTTTGAAATAAACTTTTAATTGTGTTTGTGTGTATTTTTATATACAGACGTGCGGCAGAGCTTGGGCTGCTCAAGTTCAAAGTGACAGCTGTGTGGTACATTTGTTGTTGTGTGTGTGTGTGTGTGTGTCTGTGTGTACTTAGGGGTTGTGTGGGTTTCTCAGCACAATCCTAGTCCAGCTGCTTTCACAACCAGCCACACAGGACCCATGCAGCTGGAGCTCACACAAACCGGCTTTGTGCTGCTCAAGTCAGTGTGGACCGGCTCAAACCGGCTTATGCCGGTTCTTACCTCAGCTGGCTGGAGTGGGGGGCGGGGGTGGGGGGGGATTTATGGGTTGATGAGGTACCATATTACGCCGACTTAATTAAAACATTTATGTGAAGTTTAATCTTGTGACGAATATCAGGCTTCTGAAAATAAGCGCTAAACTTAATGCGCCGAACTAATTATTTGTTGGCATTCGTGAATACAGCAATAATTCCACTAATTCCATTAACGAAGCCAAATAAAGTGATTAAATGGAGCAGTCCTCGTTGTTTGGCCATGTGATTTAATATTGTAATAAAAATGCCAAGGCTGATGAAATTGAATCTTCTGGAGACGAGGCCTAAATCAATTAGTCCCCATGAATAGGCATGGACGTCCTGCTGTGCCAAGAATTTTTAATAACTGCAGGAATTTACCTAAAGGAAATTATGGAAATGAAAAAGAAAGTCTGCTGAAGGCCTCTTATCAATCCTCTTAAGTTTGGAGCAGGACTATTCTTAGTTAAGTAGCTTCATAAGTCAGGTGTTGGCTTACCTGTGGGCTTATCCTTCACTGCTTTCTATTTTCTTCAAAGATCGGTTTATTTAATCATCAATTAATTGCCACTAAGGACTGAATTTGTTGGTCAGCGTCGGACCTTTTGACTTCCCTCGTCTTCTCTCTTGCGTCCACAGTAAACGTGATGCGGTGTTCAGTTTGCCACCAGGACTACAAGCAAAGCGACATCGTTGACAACTACTTCGTCAAAGACACGACAGAGGCCACGAACGCGTCCGATGAAAAGGCTGCACAGGTGAGTCCAAACGTAAACGTATTGACGCTTGTAGGCTTTCTTCTGCTGCATGGTGCCGTCTTAGCATATGCTTGGGATTATGATATTTCATTCTCTAATAAAGCAAAGCATTCCAATATGATACTACCATAAAAAAGATTTAGTGTGCCAAAAATACCAGGATGTACATCTGGTAAGATTTTGCACTATGTAAGCCAGCATGTTTTTTTTTTATGGCCATTCTGACCCACAATCCTTTGCACGGTTCCTTTGCATATGCTATGGGGGTCTTGTGTGGGCATAAACAAGCTGGAGCCGCCGACAGATGACAGCTCATTTCACAACAGTCGCAATATTATGATGAGATGAAGTAGTATTTACCAATTATATGCACGAGACACGGCGTACTTTGTAAGGGCTGCTATATTACGCACTTATAAAGAAGTATGTGATTTGGAACACAGCCGTGATTCGGAAAAGTTGTATCAGATATGCACGTGATCCATTTAGTTAAATGCTAAAAATCTGATCGTACAGTGTGATATTAAACAATCTAAACCAAGTGGGAGGTAGATGTGGCACATTTTGCAGCATTATCGTCTTTCTTTCGATGTCTTTGGTGGATTGCATCTCAAACAGACGTGCAAATGCCTGTTGTTTAAAGATTATTATCAAAATTGCACCGTTTAATTGATTAATTTTGTCATTCTTGTTGCGAGCCTGTTGCCCTTATACGCTATACTTGCCACCTTCAATCTGTGCAACCGCTTTATCTGGCGCTTTACAGAAGTATAATGTGTGAAACCCCAGTCAACCGCAGTTATTTTTTCAGCTCTGCAGCCATAAAGAGCCGAGTCATGACATCTTTGTACCACTGGCTCAGTCGCTCAGCTCAGTCGTCCCTGGAAGTCTTTTTTTTCCCCCTCATACTATCAGAAAGTGACTTGCTAATAGAAAGTGGAACTGCTGTGACTCTAAACAGGGCTCCAGACTACGACCATTTTTGGTCACATTTTTTTTTTGAGGGTGAGCGAGTTGGAATTTCAAGTGGTCGCAGTCGTGCGAGTGTGTGAGGATCATTAAGCCATATTAGTGTCGCTGTAACTGGCACAGGCAGCGACTGTGTCAACCGAAGCGGTGGAACTGTGGTATTTACACTTAAAAATGCAATCTTCTCATGAAATCTTGAGCGCACCTGCATTAGATGTTTTCTATGAGCGGAACAGCGCCTGTACGTGCGCTCCACACTGTAGAACAAAATCACCCGGTTTCATCTTGGACAAATCTGACCCTACAACGCCCCAGTTTAACTCTTTTCAAAGTATGCTTTGGTCGCACACCTGTCTGAGCACACCGCAGCCGCCAAGCAGCAGCTACCACAGCCTGCAGTGTGGGGCGTTCAGGGAACATCTGTAAATCAGAGGGCCTGTCGATAAGAAAATGTTCAGCAAGTGGTGTGTTTTGCCTGTGGCCAGGTGGAAGGTGCGATCAAATGAGAAAGTTGTTGGCACCAGTGAAAAAATTAGTCTGGAGCCGTGCTAAAGAAAGGAAACAATTCTCTGAATACTCTGTAAACACACACGGAAATAGTCCCTCTCGTGTGGAGCCATGACATGAAAAAGACTGCACCAAGATGTCTGTTGGATTTTCTTATTTATGGAATACAAGCCAGAAGATCAGTTTCACTTCAGCTCTCTATCACCTGCTATCATAACAAAACAAGGAAATACGACAGCGTTCTGATGATGATGATGATGATGATGATGATGATGATGGGAATAATAATATTTTTAGATTTTAGTTGACTTTGCTCTCTTGAACCAGATGGTAATCATATAGCCTTTGATATATGGGAATATGTTTTATTAACCATATGTGTATCAGCTGCTGGCATCAGTAAGCCGGAGCTCAGTCACTTTCCTGCAGCCTGAATATTTTTCACACAGTGTTATAGAAGTACCATGTCAGTATCAAGGCGATATCTTTTGAGGATACGACCACCACTACTGATGTTGGCAAGGCTGCATCTACTTCTGATTCTGTGCAGAGTTCTTTTAGATACTTATTGGTGTTTTCTTTCTAAGGTGTGCACAAGCTGTGAGGACAACGCAGGAACCATAGGCTTCTGTGTGGAGTGTGGCGAATGGCTGTGTAAGACCTGCGTGGAGGCCCACCAGAGGGTCAAGATCACCAAGGACCACAAAATCCGCACCAAGGAGGACGCTGATGCTGCCTCGGGTAAGATGGCTGACCCTCACAGACGAAGCATTGATCACTGCTTAGAGAAGCTAAAACTGTAAAGAGCTGAGTGAGACCAACCCCAGTTGAAGCACAGTGAATGCTGATTGGCTACTGCTGATTGGCTGTTGCCATGGTAATGCTGCTGCAGATCTTTGTGCTTAGATGGTACCTCTAGCTGGTGAGACTATGCATCCTGAGCTCCGTCCAGAGTTTTCATAGACTCTATCTGTTTTAAATCTTGAATAGACTTGGACATGATTGCTGTGGCTTTTGTTGCTGTTTATTTTTTTTTAAATCTTTGTTTATTCTGCATTTTCCACTGTGGTTTCTTTGGGCAAATTGCCTCTTTGTATTTGTCTCACCTTTGCTGAGTGGCGTCTCTTATATCGTGTGTCTACAGAGTCCGTCGGGGCATCAGGACAGAGGCCGGTTTTCTGTCCCATCCACAAGCAGGAGCCTCTTAAACTATTCTGTGAGACTTGTGACACGTTGACCTGTAGGGACTGCCAGCTGCTGGAACACAAGGAGCACAGGTAACTCGACATGCACGTCGTTGTTTTATTACTAATGCACTGTTAGCCTGTTCTCTTTTAGCTTCTTTGTCTGGGAAGAAGCACGATTATTTAAAAAGCAAATTAATAATTATACCAGCTGTCAGTATTCACCAACAGTATTCCTAATAATTAAAATTTTGCATTGATAACATACAGGTCTGACATGCTGTTATGGCTTAAAGCTCACCTGCACTGTGCTGAAATTCTTGTGCGGGGCCGTTTGAGATGGGTCATGTTGAGGAAACTTGCCAACAACTTTTATTTGAACTTTATTGATGCCCGTGCAAACAGTGATTCATTTCATCTCATCAATCTAGCAACCTTATGCTATCGGACTTCTGTATCATACGTCATATCACCTCTCCTCCTTTTTTTTTTTTTTTTAAATTCTCTTTTGTTAATTGGTACTTTCACCTTAGTGTGACACCTGCAAACATCACTCATGACATTCAGAAAATATTAAATATTCACCATCAGTCATATACCAAATCATGGTTAACTCTGTGAAGTACATGTAGCCGTCATTTAGAGACTCAAAACTGTACCTCTTCAATCATGCATGACATTTTTGACAGAAACAAACAACAAAAATACAATGTGGATGTCTTGTGACTACTTTGGCCTACTCTGTGTATCTGATAGGTGTTCTGACCTTTCTACCATATGTAGGTGTACTTGATTGTTCATCATCTGCAACAACTGGCTGCTCTGCTGAGCTGCATGGCTGTCTGTCATGTCACAGTTCTTTATTCTTGTGACTAACTTTAAGTTCCCGTTGTGTTCATCTCCACATGGAAAGGTTTTCTCTCCATTATCAGTAGATACTTTGTGTTTCTTCTGTACACCTGCTGTCTGGAACCACAAAAGAACGTGGCTGTGGGTGTTTTTGTGGGACCACGGCCGGCTGCCGTGTTCCTCATCATCCTGACCTTCTCACCTGCTTGCAGGTCCGACAGTTTTCTTGTCTATTAAACTACAATTTTTGGTTCTCCTGCCACTCTCTTTACCTGGACGGTTCCTTCTGGGGTAAACAAAGAGGTGAAGAGGTTGAGGAAGACCGTTTTCCTTTAAGCTCCCATCCCGTTAGCAACTACGCTGGTGATAGTCCAACATTTTCCAAAGGTGTGTTGTGATAGATCAGCAATGAAGTATAGGAGACACCATTTTTTATTT